ACACTAGATGTCAGCCATAGAGGGGGAATGTTAACTAAACAATCAATGTTCAGCAGACATAAAATAGCAATGAAAAAAACTAATTTGACTTAAATGGTCTGTGGCTTAAATGTAGATCTGCACAGTCTCATCTATAATTCTACCCAGTATATTAATTTCTTGGGCATTATGTGTCGGGGTATTACACCAATAACAGCAAGCCATTATTCACTACCTATGGTTCTGATTCCCCCCGACTCCACCACACGTACAGGTCGATAAGGTGTGCAACCGTGGCAGTTTATAAAAGAGAGAAATTCTATTGAAATCTGTACTTTTTTAATATCTACATATTTAGATAAATAGATCTTACATTATTTATATTGTGAAACAGTACAAACAAAACAAGTCTTTAATGTTCAGCAGTAAATAGACACAAAATAATGCAATACATTGGTACCATATATGAAGAGGATATGGGTTTAATTGCAGCAACAGCAGCACCAACATGTATAAGGATTACCACTGATAAAGAAACTCTAAAATTTAGATAGTAATTATAGCGGAGCTCCCTGTACCCCTCGCTGGGTACCTCCGCCAAGGACCGCTTTCTAGCTGGATTAGGGCACAAACCGATGCACTTCTGCCCACAGTAGCTGTGACTTCACTGGGGCCCTGGAACTGCTCCTTCCTTTAGCCCATGGGTCGTCAACCTGGTCCCAACCTGGTCCCTACCGCCCACTAGTGGGCGTTTCAGGATTCCAGGTGGGCGGTAGGGATTTCAGAGATTGGGTGGGCGGGAAGGCGAGTGCCAGCCGGCGGTACCCCTGCGACCGGGTACCTCCGTCACCATTTGCGGCCCCGGCCCACGTGGCAAACCGCCGGGGCCGCCGTCCAAGGGGTCCATCAGGTGGCCCATGTTGTCAGGGCCACACGATGGATGTGGATTGACAGGGGGCCCGGTCAGCGCTGGGCGCTTTAACAGCGCGACCGGGCCCCCTGTTATTACATCACACGCTGGGAGGAAGTGACTGAGCGTCACTCCTCCCAGCTAACAAACAGACCGCGCGGGAGGAAGACCAGGGAGTGAGAGTAGGAACTCTGACTCCCATGCACCTGAGCCACCACTGGACCCCAGGGAAAGTCACACTCCTGCACCTAAAAGGTAGGAAACAGGAGGGTGACTAAAATATTTTGTGTGTGTTTGTTTGTGTGTATGTGTCTTTGTATGTATGTCTTGTGTGTGTCTATGTATGTATGTCGTGTGTGTGTGTGTGTGTGTGTGTGTGTGTCTATCTGTATATATGTGTGTATGTATGTGTGTCTTGTCTTTGTATGTATGTGTTGTGTGTGTGTTTTTGTATGTGTGTCTTGTGTCTGTATGTGTGTGTGTCTATGTATGACTTATGTGTGTGTCTTTGTATGTGTACCTGTCTGTATATATGTGTACCTGTCTGTTTATATGTATGTATGTATGTGTGTGTGTGTCTGTATGTATGTGTGCGTGTGTCTGTAAGTATGTGTGCCTGTCTGTATGTATGTGTCTTGTGTGTGTGTGTGTGTCTGTATGTGTGCCTGTCTGTTTTTCTGTATGTATGTATGTATATATGTATGTGTGCCTGTCTGTGTGTCTGTATTTCTCTATGTGTGCCTGTCTGTGTGTCTGTGTGTGTGCCTGCCTGTTTGTATGTATGTGTCTTTTTATGTGTGTGTGTATGTATGTATGTGTGCCTGTCTGTTATAGTGGGCTATAGTAAGTGGGCTACCTAGCTAAGCCTTCCTACTGGGCATTGCTATAAGGAAGGTTAAAAAATAGAAAAAAGGGATAAAAAAGGTGGGGAGGAGAATTGAGGAGGGAGATGAGATGAGCTGACGCACCGATGAGAAATCATATTATGTGCAAGCTGAGAAGTCGTCTAAATATCACCGAAAGAGGAGACCTTCGTTTGGTCCTTACGAAAATCGAACCAGATATCAAATATTTAGTCTTGCAGCATCAACCTCAAGGATCTCATTAATCACTAGTAAAGGTAATTTCAATGTACTTTATTGTTTTCCAATTAAACTTTATAAAGTTAAAAACATTATAAACATGCATTAATTAGAAATTAAAAGATAAATGTACGTACATTTATTTATTTTTTAAAACACCATCCTTTCTAATAAAATATTCCGCACTTGCGCGAAAACTGGTGGGCGGTATGGAAATTTTTCCATCAAGAAAGATGCATTAGTGGGCGGTAGGTAGAAAAAGGTTGACTACCACTGCTGTAGCCGAATGGGGAATTAGCTCTAGTCCTTTAAAGGACTTTCCCTGTTGAATCCCCTGCAAGCTGGAACAGCAGACACAGGAGTAAATCTTCTTTCCGTCCAATAACAGGACAACACACAGTATTGAAGTGTAAGCTGGTATAGATTTTAATGGTGCCACACTTGGCCTTTTATGCAAGTACCAAAGCAAGGGGTACGCCCACATGGACCTTGTTGGGGACAGGGACACAAATTTACAAACCAATAATAACACATTTAAAATGTAAGGCACTCCCACACAAAGCACACACTCCCTCCCCTCTGCTTGGGAGATAATTGGATCAGTAACTGTACTAATTCTAATCAAATTATCTCCAAGAACAGAAAAAACATACATTTCTAAGAAGTCCCAAAAGTACCCCAAAACACATGATATCCCCACAATTTACATCCCATAATAGCCCTGATCTGGGTGACCAACATATCCAAAAATCACCCAGATCAGTTTAGGGGTTCAGGAATTTCCTGGAAGTCATAATTTTGACCGACCGTGCACATGACCGGTCCTATGCCCAAAACAGTTCCATGAAATCAGGGCTAACGGTCGGTCAAGTTTGGTAGCCTTTTACAGGTTTCCCTGCAGGGACCATAGTCTGTGGGCAGGAGGCTGGCAAGCAGGCTCCTCCAGAAGCTCGTGGCAAACTCACATGGGAAGGGGAGTATGTCACAGTAATGATATCCATACATTTAAAGGAACACTTCAGAAACATAAAGCACTTCATCTTGCTTTGTGTGTCTAGAGTCTGTTATTTTTTAAATAGTTTGTAAAAATGTAGTTTTCAATAGAAATCAGCACTTTTATAACAGGACGGCGCATCAGCTCCCAGGCTGTCCGTGGCGCTGGCTTATCTTTCAAGGTTATATCGTTCAAGAGCTCCCATGTCTTCTCTCCAGTCCCGGATCGCTTTTCCCCCAACAACATCCTCTTGCTGTAAAGCTTGAAAGCCGCTGATTGGCTGAATTTGTCAGCTCACCGCTTTAAGCCCATCAGTGGCGCCCCTTCCCGCTGTAGTCCAAGGCTTCAGTTTTCAAGCTTTCCAGCAATCAGATGTTGGAGAGGCCGGGCACAGCGATCCAGTGCTGGAGAGACTTTGCCGAACGGTTTAACCCCTAAAGTTAAGAAAGCGCCAGGAACCTCCGGGTACCATAACAACTGAATTTTATGAGGTTGTTATAGTGTCTGGATGCTCCCTTTAAGCATTGGTACAACACCATTGTAGATGCTGCTCGATGTTTGCTGACAAGCATAAAGTCCCCGATACTTCAGGATCCAGGCCCATTTGCTGATCCATTCTTACAACGCTTCTTTACTGGTGTTTTTAAAGTTAGAAAGGAGAACACAACGACTGTACATGGAGCTTTTTCCAAATGTTTTCATAGTCATTTGGTCACCTACGGCCCTGAAATCTGCACTTTTTGAAAATGAGAAGAAGAGACACTCCAAGAGTTATTCACTAAAGTGAGAATTGTTGCCAATTCATAGTGAATTTCAAATTTAAGGTCAAAGAAGCCTAACTGCACGTACAGACGTACAAACTCGTTTTCCTGGCACTTTTTGGTTAAAACCCCTTCAGCCAGTTTTATAGTTTTATACTAGTTGCCAAGTGTCGCGTTTTGTCCCGGCAAGCTGGAGTCTGTCCCGGGTAAATCACTCTCCCGAGACAGTCCTGGCAACTTGCAGGGCCATGTGCTTTTATTTTCCCCCCCTCAGACTTCAGGAGAGAGATGCAGGGGGCTATAGAGAGGTGCTGGGGGCTGTGGAGAGATGCTGGGGGTTATAGAGAGGTGCTGGGGGTTATATAGGGGTGCTCGGGGCTGGAAAGAGATGCTGAGGGCTATAGAGAGGTGCTGGAGAGAGGTGCTGGGGGCTGTGGAGGGGTGCTGGGGGTGAAGGGAAGTGCTGGGGGGGGGTTAAGAGAAGTGCTGGGGGCTGTGGATAGATGCTGGGGGCTATAGAGAGTTGCTGGGGCTATAGAGAGGTGCTAGGGCACCCAGACCACTTTAATTAGCTGAAGTGGTCTGGGTGCCTAGAGTGGTCCTTTAAGGATTATTAGCTGATTTAGAGACTTCTATTAAAAAAAAAAAAAAATACATGTTTTTAAAGGACCACTCCAAGCACAGTAAACACTGCAGTCCTCTGTTGTGGTTATGGTGCACTAGCACCTTCCCATAGTGTTTTAAGAACAGTTTGACAATTTACCTAGGTCCCCCCAGGCGCCTACATTGCATCCAGCTGGGCAGTTTAAGGCAGATGTCTCGTCAGGTCTAACCATGGCTGAAATCAATGACAGAGAGCGATTCTAGGACAAATATTGGGTTTTATTCACTAAGTTGGAAATTGTAATACGGACGGCAAAGTATAGGCAAAGAATAACTAATCTCCAAATCATCTTTATCAGGGGTCCTCAAACTCCGGCCCTCCAGAAGTTGCTGAACTACAACTCCCATGATTCTTTGAATTACATAGATAGCCAGAGAATCATGGGAGTTATAGTTCAGCAAATTCTGGAGGGCCGGAGTTTGAGGACCCCTGATCTATATGGTCACAGCTTGGTAACTTCAGCCCACATTTTGCAATTTTTCCATATTTCAATTCGCTACATTTATGGTTTTAGTGAATAAAACCCCTGTTGTAATAGACATGAAGCTGCGTTACTCGGCCTCCTCCGGCAGGTGGCGCTGCTGGGATTCTCTATGATAGCTGAGGCGGTGGGACGCTCTAGCCCCGCGTTTCTCGTTTTCTTCCTGCAGAGCTCAGTGGCAGGCTCGCTTCCGGTGACCTTCCTGAGCGGCGAGTGATCGCACGGTGTGAGGTGGGTGACGTGCCCGGTGTGAGGTGCCTTCCATTACCGGCCCTGGGTAGCAAGTGGTGCTGGGTGGAGGACATACAGCTCGTTACCTGGGCCTTAACTCCTTATTGCCTCTAACCCATAACCCACAGGCTCCTCCAATTATATATGTGATTATTGTGTTTATCTCATTATATTATTATTATTATTATATTGTTTATTAATATTATATTTATTGTTTATTATTATTATACTGTTTATTATATCTGCTCTTACTGTGGGCATTGTTACAGGTCTCTATAGGTCAATAGCATTTCATTTCCTTACCCTTCAGGTTTGCCTTTCAGTTGACAAAAGAGTTACAAACTGTGGGTTAAAATAACCAAAATTTGGGGAAGAAATCCCCTTCCTTCCCCGAATGTTGGTTATTTTAACCCACAGTTTGTAACTCCTCTGTCAATTGAAAGGCAGACCTGAAGGGTAAGGAAATGAAATGCTATTGACCTATAGAGACCTGTAACAATGCCCACAGTAAGAGCAGATATAATAAACAGTATAATAATAATATAATGAGATAAACACAATAATCACATAGATATTAGAGGAGCCTGTGGGTTATGGGTTAAAAAAAAAAAACACAAAAAACCCACAGTTGAATGTGATGTTTTCTATTTACTGTACCTTGTGCAGTTTTGATTCTCTTTAAAATCAAAACTTTTGGGGGTTTATTCCTGGGGCTGTGAATTAATAGTAAATTCACACCATTTACTAATCATACTAGTAAATTGGAAATTAATTAGTGGAATTTTAAGATACAATAGCTGAATGAAAAAAGTTGAATTCCAAATTTTAAAAAAATGACTAAAATAATGTCCATCCTCTTGCATTCAATATTTTTTATTTTCCGAAGCGTTTTTTTTTTTTTTTAATTATTATTATTATGGAGTTTGCCCATAGACTTGCAGTATCATAATCACTACAATGTTCTGTTTTGTGTTGAAAGTGCTACTTTGAACAAATGCTGGGTATCTTTGATGTCCTGAAGTAATATGACTGTTTATGAAGGGAACACTCCAAGCGCCATCATCACTACAGTACGGTTTAGTTGTTATGGTTCCAGGAGTGCCCTGGTGACCCTTTCCAGAGTAATTAGTCAAGCCATTTGCTAGTGGTTTGACTGCACTGTAGTGGTTATGGTGCTTTGAGTGTTCCTTTAAAGAGCTGTGCATTAAAACCCAGTTGTCATAGAAATACAGAATATTTGTTTTCAAAGAATCTCTTTTCCTCTATTTTATGCAAATTTGTGACTGATAGTTGTTTTTTCACTTCTCCAGAAATGGCAGGCAAGGCTTTTTCAGCATGGTGGACCTTGATGAGGCCGTATTACACTAAAGCTTACCAAGAGATGTGGGTTGGTGTTGGCATCATGACAGTCCTCTATTATAAGCTGTCATATGGAGGTAAGCATGCTCTTATTAATACAATTTATCAGTTTTTAGTTGTTTTAATATTGCCATTTAATTTTGTTTGTGCAAAATCCTGATTCTTCTACGGATTCATTTATTTTACAGAATGTGTGCAGTGTATTCGTTTCTAAAGTCGTGTTGCTCTGAACACCTTTCCTTGTGGCAAAGTGTTTGCTAATACTTGCCAATAACAAAGGGTTATTAGTACTCTTGGGGTTACACTACATAACTATTCTTCTGAGTATTTTGAAATGTTGCTAGAGATAGGTTGGGAAGGAGACATCTTCTTGTGCGTTGCGCACATTATTCAATGTGGCTCTTGCAAGGTCTTCTATGGACCTATGTAGTTAAACTCTTGAATTAGGATATAGCGCGTTTGCAGGCTCCTGAAGGATGAAACACCAGGAACAGAGGATTGTGGCGCCTTTTCTCTTGCCACCGTACACCAAGCAATCATGTCACCTTCAGTGGGTCTAAGCAAAAATTGCAAATACCCTAGTGTAAATGGACTCTTATAGATAGCACAGCAACGATCCATTTTAAAGGGAAACTCGAGGCGCTATAACTTATTTTAGTGGTTTTGGGGGGGAAATATTCAGCTTATCATTTTACCCCTTAGAAAGAAATAATTATCCTTCCTTTTTATATGAATGAGTGTACTGAACGCCTCCGTTAGCTAGGCAACAGGTTGCGATCACTACCTCTGGTAAGCTAACAAAGCCAAAAATAGTAAGGTCCCACAAGGGGACACAAAAATAGAGCAAAAGAATGTCTCTGATTCGATTTATAAATATCATATATTTGATAATCCTAATTTACATTGGAAGGCATCTTTAACAAATTGCATCAAATTAGTATCCCCCTCCCCCCAATACCTTCCAACATTAGTTTAAAAGAACTCTATAGCGTTAAAAATACAAAACTGTATTCCTAACACTATAGTGTCCCTTCGGCTCTGCGGTTCCCCTGACTCTGTGATTAAAAGGTGAAAAAACTTCCAGCGCAGAGGTCAGACTCCTCCTGCGATGTCACGCCAATAGGGGAACCAAGTGAGCAAGCAAGGCAAGCACCATGCATGCAGTAGACCCTCCCTATAGTAAAACATTAAATCAGTGCTTTCCTATGGGGGTTTGAAGACGTTGGATGTCCTCAGGCAAACTGTAAGGACGTCCAATGTCATTTCACTGAG